GACGCACTGCACCGTGAGGGGAGCTGAGGGTGACGCACTGCACCGTGAGGGGAGCTGAGGTGACGCACTGCACCGTGAGGGGAGCTGAGGTGACGTGCTGCCGTGAGGGGAGCTGAGGTGACGCGCTGTCGTGAGGGGAGCTGAGGGTGACGCACTGCACTGTGAGGGGAGCTGAGGTGACGCGCTGCACTGTGAGGGGAGCTGAGGTGACGCACTGCACTGTGAGGGGAGCTGAGGTGACGCGCTGCACTGTGAGGGGAGCTGAGGTGACGCGCTGCCGCGAGGAGAGCTGAGGTGAATCAGTACATTATGAGGTGCTTGTTCCAGGCACAGAGCAGATCCTGGTTAAAAGATGCATCCCTCCTTCTTCATGCCCTAAACAACATGCCAACTCAGTGAAAAGCTCCTTGGTTTTATAGACATCAAAGATGGTGGGTACGGTAACTTTCCATTTCTGTCCTGCTGGGTCTATACCCATTTTCCAGAGTTACAAAAACTGATATATGTAGCGTTTAATTGGATGCTTTGCTGCTGCTTCTGTCCTAGATGTTGGCTGTCCCCTGGCTTGCGTCCTGTGTTTTTATTCCTTCAGGCTGGCAGAGCCCCAGGGGCTCTGTGGAGGAAAGCATTCCCTGTGTCGAGGCGGGCAGACAAGCAGGACTTGTTCGGCAGATAACTGCGTCCTTGGTTTCCTGAGCTCTACGTGCACGAAAGAAAACTGTTCTGTGTGTCACTTCACCAGCAATTTATCCAAATAATATGACACCCCCCCCCGGATGAAACCTAATTTCTGAGAGTTATATAGCAGAGTTATTGATTGAATTATACACCCCTCCCTCAAAAAATAGGAGCTCTGGTGGCATAGTGCCTAAGGCATTTGACTGCTAACCAGAAGGCTGGTGTTCAAACCCACCAGCCACTCCTTGGAAGGAAAATATATGTGTTGTAAAGCCTAGTGTTTATTCCTGTGGTTATAATCCCATTTGGGAATGAATTTTCTGTTATGTTAACAGGGTGGGATTATTGTAGAGTGTTTCTTGAGTTCTTACAAGAGCTGAAAAGAGCAGATTAAGAAGCAGATAGGAAAAGATCGATGCCACACCACACAGAGATCTCTAAGGAAGCAGGAAACAGAAGCTGAACAGATAAGAGCTGACAGAGAGCCTGCCCCCAGAGTGGGGGTTAGCTCTGTTACAGCGGCACCGGAGAACGAGCACAAGCAGTCATCTCCTAAATGAGGTCTCTCTCGCTCTCTCTCTTTTTTTGAGAGTCAAAAATTGTCTCAGAGGGTTAAGCAGAGCTTGAAATAAGTCCTGCTTGCTGGGTCACTTTATTTTAAACGGTTGATGTCTTTCAAGGTGGCGAGATGGGCTAAAGCTTGACATAATCAGCTTGCTTTTCTTTGACAGAAAAAGTGGATCATTGTTGCTGTGTCAGTGGTTCTGGTGGCCATAATTGCTCTAATTATCGGTTTGTCAGTTGGCAAATGAGGACGTGGATGACGGCAGTGTGCATGCCCTCTGCCTGCATGGCAGTAAGTAACTAATCAGCTCGTTGACTCATTAACCCTTCTAACTAGCCAGGCTGGCCTGTTAATTGACTTAATAATGAAAGCTTGGCTGTCTCACCGCATGGTGCCAGTGGCGCCCTCCGGTGGTACCTGTGCCTCTCTGCGCTCTGGTCTCAGCACTGGCGGTGCCCAGGCCTCCTGTGTGCAGTCGCCTTTTCAAGCTTCTAGATGTGCTTGTTGGCCTCGGTGTGACAGGGTGGCGGGTAGCACTGGCTCTTACGTCTTTTCAGACTTCTCATTTCATCTCAGAAGGCCACTCATCTCTCTCTCTCTATCATTATTTAAAGGAAATAATCATGTCACTGATGATTAACACTTAATTTTAAAATACTAACATTTATTTTAATATGTCTCTTACATTTTAACTTTCAGAATAGTTATCACTACTGAAAGTTACTTTGTAAAATATATTTGTTAAAAAAAATTAAAGTAGTATCAGAAGAAAATAATAAACACGTGAAGTAAAAAGTAAAAGGATGTATTTGCTCATCATTTTGGAATTCGATGGAATAGAGCTAAAGGTATGACAGTGTTCAATGCAGTTAAAACCCTTTGTCTAATTTGTTTCTATTTGACAGCATCTATTTTATTTGGAAATATTTCCTTATTAAAATGGGAATTAAGTGTTACTGTGCTGCTGTTGTTGTTATGTGCCATCGAGTCGGACCCGACTCACAGCAACCCCTCCTTGGGTTTCTGAGGTGGTATCACTTCAGAAGTAGATTGCCCAATCTTCCTTCTGAGGAGTGGCTGGTGGGTTTGAGCCGCCAACCTTCTGGTTAGCAGTCAAGTGCCTTAGGCACTACGCTACCAGAGTCATTCTTAATTCTAGGATTCTGAGTATAAAACAAACAAAAAAATAAACTCACTGACATTGAGTCGTTTCCAACACTCTTAGCAACCCCCATTGGATTTCTGAGGCTGTAAATCTTTACAGAAGTAGATCACCTTGTGTTTGTTCCGTGGAGCTGCTGGTGGGTTTGAACTGCTGGCCTTCTGGTTAGCAGTCAAGTGCCTTATCCACTAAGCCACCAGAACTCCCTGAGTATAAAAGATATGTAATTTATTTGTTTAAAATGTCACTAAGCTCTGGTGATGTAGTGTCAAAGGCATTTGACTGATAACCAGAAGGCTGGTGGTTCAAACCCACCAGACACTCTTGAGAAGGAAGACTGGGCAGTCTATGAGATACCGCCTCCAAAACCCAGGGAGGGGTCACTGTGAGTCAGAATCCACTTGATGGCATTGAGGTTTTTTTTATTGCTGCAATATTTATATCACCCTTTTCCAAACTTAAGGAGCTCTAGTGGCACACTGCCTAAGGCATTTGACTGTTAACCAAAAGGTTGGTGGTTCAAACCCACCAGCTGCTCTGTGGAATGAAGATGGGGCAATCTCCTTCTGTAAAGATTTACTGCCTTGGAAACTCAAATCAGTGTGACTATGGGTCAGAACTGACTTGATGGCAGTGGGTTTGTTTTTTCTTTCCCCCAAAACTTGAGTAGATGGAGTATTTGCCTCTGGCTCTGTTACACGTTAATTCTGCATCCTGTTTGCACTAACGCTTTGCTTGAGGTTAAGTGCTGGCGGCTCTGTTAAACTCGGAGCTGCCAGGGGTTCCTCTTGAAGGGCGTGGCTGGCATCACTGCTGAGCTGGAGCACGGGCAAGCCTCCTCCCAGGGTCTCTGCTTTGTGACAAGGGGCCCCAGAGGAACCCAGTTCATTACGAAAGGGAGGGCCAACGTCATAGGCAGCTGGCACTTCAACAAAGGGTTATGGTGCAAAGGAGTCACTTGCACGGTCAGTGGTCACTACTGCTTTCCAGTCTTAAGGTTTCTCTCTTCACGGGAGCGAGCGTCCGCTACCCATAAGGTCCGTAATTAAGAGATGAGTAACCGGAGCAGTTCACTGTGTTCTGCTGTCAGTGAGGCCACAGGGCGGCACTTGAGACCCTCAGGTCACTAGCTCTGGGGTGGTGTGTCAGTCGGCATCCCGTTCCTGAGTCAGACGCAAGGACCCCTTAACTCCCACGCTTTGGTTGCACCAAGTGTTGATGTGTTTTCTTGTCATTTCCCTGGTAGCTCTGCCAAGAAGAAGGTAGAGGGGATTCGTCTTCACTCATATAATGGTCTGTGTAACGTTTTTCTCATTTTTGGTGAGACATCTATTCTCTTCCTGTTTCCTTGTAGCTAGTTGAATGTGGCTAGTCGAATGTGGTTACGCATGAGCTGAAATGACCGTTATTAGCTTGCATCTGGGGAAATGAGTGGCTTTCCATCGGTGCTGTTTGGTATTGATGTGGAACCAAAGGACGTCTGGCCATCCCGAGCCTCAGCCCGGACGGCCAGTGTCCCCTGGGGCATGCAAATGCCAACGAGTGTAAAGCGATACTCGCTAATGAACCGATTAGAGTGCACACTCCACACTTGTTCTGTATACAACGCAGCAGTAGGGGCTTTCAGACAGTTACTTCTAAAACATTGCTTTATTCCTTCACTGTCAGCAGACAACTTGTTGCAGCTGTTCTGCAGTCTGGGTAGCACACTGTCTGCATTTCGTAGAGGTGAGCCTAATCTCACGACCCTGCCACGTGGCTGGGTGCCCCCTTCCCGTCTAAGGGCGCGACGAGGGGCAGCCTGCCTGCGCTCCGCTATAGAGCGGGGCCAGGGCCTGTCAGGGCGTTGCCCCCCCCAGAAGCAGCCCAGGTATCTATCTGGCTTGAGCTATGGTCGGGATAACCAGGGTGGTGGTTTAGGAGCTCTAGTGATGCAGTAGTTAAAGCATTGGGCTGCTAACCAGAAGGTCAGTGGTTTGAACCCACCAGCTGCTCTGCAGGAGAAAGATGAAGCAGTCTGCCTCCGTAAAGACTGACAGCCTTGGAAGCCCCATAGGCAGTTGTACTCTGTTAAGTATGTAACTTAGGGGCCTGGGATTCAGATATGATGGGATTTGGAAGGGCAGAACTGAAAGCTGGCTGTGGCCAGGCCGTCCACGCACAGGAAGTGCCGGAAGCTTGGCAGGGAACCGGGGAGCAGCACTGATCTGCGAGGTGGGGCAGACGTGTGCTGAGTTTGGGAGGTGAGGCGTGGGCCATGGGAGGGAAGGAAGGAAAAGGGGTCTCTCAGAAAAGGTGCTAAGAGAAGATGCTAGAAAGGTGGGCATAGTCCTCAGTGTCTAGGGAAGGACCTAATAGTACGAAGAAAGGTCGATTGTGGGGAGGAGGTATCTCGAGCCCTGCCAGGTCAGCCCCATTCACGCTTGACATGTTGGTACTAGTTTAGAGCTGTCCAGGCTCTGTGGCCGTGATTTCTTAGATGAAAGTGCACTTATTTCTGGTAACTTTAACTTAAAATGGGAAGCGCTGCTTTTTTAAGAGACCCAGAGTTAACCAGTACGGGGAGTTTTCCTCGTGTGCTCCCATCCCTTCTCCCCGTTTCCCCTGGACACGTGCCTAGAGACATGCAGATTCCCTAAGCCAAAGGCGTTAGCCTTCCAGGGTGCCGTGATGCTCGTTAACATATCTGAATCTATAGACATACGTACACACACACACGTACACATGTAAAGTCCATGCTGACATGCACACATGTAAAGGCCCATGCTGACACACACACACATGTAAAGGTCCATGGCGACACACACACACATGTAAAGGTCCATGCTGACACACACACACACACACACACACACAAAGGTCCATGGTGACACACACACGTAAAGTTCCATGCTGACACACACATGCACACATGTAAAGGTCCATGGTGACATACACACGTAAAGGTCCATGCTGACACACACACACACACAAAGGTCCATGCTGACACACACACACACACACACATGTAAAGGTCCATGGTGACACACACATGTAAAGGTCCATGCTGACACACACACACACACACACACATGTAAAGGTCCATGCTGTCACACACACATGCACACACATGTAAAGGTCCATGGTGCATTGCCATGCTTAGGCCACTCATGGAGCTTAATGTCTTGTTGACTTCCTACAGACTGTATCATATATAAATGCAAATATATATATATTATATATATCTATATCTATCTATCTATCTATCTATATGTATATATGAAGAGCAGCAAATGAGAAATAATTTCATTTAGCGTTTTAAAAAGACTTAAAATGCAGCTGAGAAATAGCATTTTTGGAATTTTGTTGTGATCTGTGTTGCTGTTGTGTGCTGTCCAGTTGATTCCGACTCTTAATGATCCCGAAAGGCAGAGCAGGACTGTCCAATAGGGTTTCCTAGGCTGTAAGTTTTCTCCTGCAGAATCACTGGTGGGTTTGAACTACCAACTTTTTGGTTATCAGCCAAGTGCTTGACCACTGTGCCACCAGGGCTCTGTCTTGTGATCTATAGAAAGTATTGATTAAGGGCCCGCATGGTGCAAATAGACCTTGCCTTTCCTCGCAGGAGAGCCTAGCTGTTGATGTACATCAACTGTTGCCTGTCACTTCCTCTCCTACCACTCCCTCTTCGTTAGCTGTTAGGGCCCTTTCATTGATACTGGGCTTATATTTGAAACTACCTCTAGTCCCTGGGTTACAGACATCTGACAGACAGCTTGGACTGGCCCTTTCATGTGATGTAAATTTTCCCTCACTTTGAAATGGATGAACCAACCCCTTTAAAACTCACTGCTGTTGAGTCAATTCCAACTCGTAGTCGATTCCAACTCAACCCCTCCTTGGGTTTCTGAGGTGGTATCTCTACAGAAGTAGATTGTCCAGTCTTCTTTTTGAGGAGTGGTTGGTGGGTTTGAACCGCCAGCCTTCTCGTTAGCAGTCACATGCCTAAGGTACTGTGCCACCAGAGCTCCTACTTGCAACAAATTCTTCATCACAATCACCTTCATGCTGTGTGTGCAGCACTAAAAGTAAGGCTAAATAAGAAC